TTGTTTTCCAAAGAGCCATGGGTTAGGAAGAAGCTGAAACACAAAAGGGTAGTGTAGGGGAGCAGCCTGACCTGGAGGGTCCTGAGCAAGGGCACAGCCTCCCCTCCCCAGCCTGTGGGGCTAGTTGGCATGATGAGCCCAGGCGATTTCCAGAAAACCAGCTCACTCCAGACCCCATCTGTTGGAGAGATGCCCATATACCTGGGGCAGGGCTCACATGCAGCTAGCTGTTCTCACAGGAAAGACCGTGGGTTCTTTCTGACTGCTTTGTCCGCTGTTCCAATATCCTTGGCTCTTCCCACCTCCTGGCCTTTGCACTTGCTGAGGGCTCTGCCTAGATTGGTCTCCACAGATCGCTGTACTGGCCTCACTGAGGTTTGTAAACCACACGTCTGCTCATGTTTATTGGTTGGATTTCTGTCCCCAACCTGTCAGGACCACATGTGACACTGTCTCCAGGAAGAGTTCAGTGTGGGGGGTACCCAGAAAAGGGTAATGGGTAGCCCTCTTCGTGTATCTGCACCACATTGGGTAATGACAGTAGAGTCCTGGGCCTGGCATTGCTGGGTCAAGTTTTTGATGTTAACTGCCAAGATGCCTTCCATGGATGTATTGAATCACTCAACACCGTTTAAGAAGGGGTCGTATTTTTCTCCAGCCTTAACACCATGAGTTAAGTTAGCAAGCTCGTGACTGAAAAAAACCCTGGGACTTGATTTTGCTTTGCCTTCTGTGGAAGAGGCATTTGGCCCTGATACAAAGTTTTTCACATGAAAAGTAAAATGAACGTGAACCGTGTCTACTGGGGTGCTGGGTTTGTTTTTTGTTACAGCTCATGTATGTGGGGCAGAAAGCCTGAAAAAATACTTCCCCACATATGTTGCAAATACTTTTTCTCAGGATACTTTTTGATGTTTAAGTATATTTTCAGGAGCCAGGCCAAATTTTTCTTGATGTTTGCCTAGTCAATTTAATCTTGTGATTTCTGGCAGAAACTCCTAGTTGCCCCCAAATAATCACCTCCTTCCTCAGTAATAGGGATCTCCGTATCTAGATGGCACCCAGAAAAGTTTCTCAGCCCCTCTTTCAGTTAGGTATGACCATGTGATATTAGCAGTAGGTGACATGTGCTATTTCTAGAAACTACCATTTGGGCTAGAATATAGGCATGATAGCTGGCACTTCAGCAGCTGTCTTTGGCCATGAACTTATACCCAAGAGCAAAAAGGTGGGAGGAGCTTGAATGCCTGACCCTGTGTCTGCATGAATAGAACTTGAGAAGTAAACACCAGTCATTTCTAGGCTACGATCTAAAACTGTCACTCATCGCCTGGAGGTGGGCCTTGATGCCTGTGCTGGGGCAAGTCTCTGCCCTCTCAGCCTTACTTTCTTCCTGTGTAGGGTGGGGTTGGTGATCCCCTAGGTCTGGGGGCAGGGGTGGGGAAGGCTTCAGATGAGCTAGAGGTCAAGAGGCCAGGAGTCTTGCGAGAGAATGCACTGCCTGGAAAGTGGAAGGCCAGGGCTCCACAAAGGCTCCCCATGCACCCCCATCTCCACCTTGAAGCCACCAAGACTTCATCCTTGTTACAGCCTGAGAACCAGCTGGAATGGCTTTGTCCCAACCAGCTGGGGGACAGGGTCAATCTTGTTACTGAGGAGACTAAACCAAGTAATGAGTGAGCCCCCGGCTCACTAACATAAGCCTATTCAGCCGGCCACCCTTCCATCTACTCATAACTATCCACAGACACCCACCTGGTAATTCCTTATAAACCTTGCTTAGAGCAGCCATTGGGACGCTGGCTGGAGGTGAGAATCATTTAACTGAGCCCTCTATCTCTGGCAGGAGTGGAGGTGCCAGGACCAACCAGAGCAAGGGCCTGGAGCTAGGAGGAAATGGGCCCTTCCCTTTGGGGCCTGTGTGACGGGATCAGCCAGTTGGATCACAGAGTCCCCACTGGTCAGCTGGGGCCCAGAGAGCAACAGGCCCTTCCCTGGGCTCACAGCCAGCCCAAGGATGATGAGGGCAGGAATCTGGAACCTGCGAAGCCCGGTAGACCCCGCCCACCTCCTCAGGTACAGAGGCGCTCCCAGGTCCTGTCCCTGGGCTTATCCAGGTGCCACATGTCAGGGCCCGGGCATGGCTGGGAGCCCGGGGGGAGAGCTGCCCCTCCCTGACCCATGCTGCACCTTACTCTTGAATCAGGACCATGGGAGCAAGGGCAAGTACTAAGGCAAGGCAAGTTGAGTGGGGGCCCCAGAGACCCATACTAGATCCTGAAACCCAGAGAAACTCAGAATCATGGGATCAGAATCTCCAGATTTGGAACCAGGGAATCTCAGTGACAGCCACCCATAGTAAAAGTGGTTTGCTTTTACTGAATGCAGGATTAGATGTTCAAGGACAGTTACCCAGCAGATCATGCTGGAGCTAGAGTAGCTCACAACCTCTCATCTCTGACCCCTCCAGGGTGATGTGGGGATGCTGGGGATGCCCAGGCAACAGATACCCACCCAGTACCCTGACATTTCTGCCCCTTCTTAGACTTCTTAGACATTTCTGCCCCTGCTGGGCCTTCAGGGATCACCCTGCTCCTCTTCCCCCATCAGTGGAGGGTCCTGGGGTCCTGCCTGCCTTCCTCCCATTCCATAATTGGAATCATACAGTCAAGGAAGGTGGGACTGCTTCTTCCTCCCTGTTCCCCACCACCTTCCACCTCCACCTCTCAAGGCTCCCAACTCGACCTTCTCTCACGTCCAGGAAGTCCAGAACATGTTCTAAATCCATGCATTTCTCATTGGGTTCCTCATTTGCTCCGAACTCTCCAATCCCCCCTTCTCACCCCCACAACGCCCTCAGAATAAAATCCAGACCCCTCATCGAGGCTTAAGGTCCTTTATGACCCTCTGTCCTGCTCCTTCCCACCGCATGGCCTTCCCCTCCATCTCTCGCCAAGCCTGTCTCATTCTCTGCTTGCTGATCCCTTCCCTGAGGCCCCACATAAGGTGACCCACTCCGGACCATCTCCTGTCATCCATCAGCTTCTGAAATGGATATTCATCTGCTGGCTTTGTCAGAGCCTTGAGCCCTTGTGCAGGGTGGGTCCATCTGGATCCTGCTGTGTTCCTAGTGCCGGGTGCAGGCGCCTGCACACAGTAGGTGCTTAATGAACGGGACTCAGCCCAAATGTCAGTCTGCAGCCTGGACCCTCCTTCCACCAATGAAGAAGAAATGAGCTGGCAGGGGACGGATCCCCCTACCACCCCTGCTGGAGGAGACAGCCGGCTACGCCTGTACTCACATCAATTTGCATGTATTTGCATATTTGCTAAGGTTTGCGGGGAAAACTCCCGGATTTCCCCTTTTTCACAAAGATTTTCCAGAAGGATGCAGCAAGGAGGTGGAAGGAGGAAGAACTCGGTGTCCTCCCCACCCTCCTGACGCTGGCGTTGGGTGCATGCCAGCAGGCAATAGGTGCCCATGTGGAGCTGTGGTATCGCAGCCCCAAGGAAGAGCGGACCTGCCCTGGACCCGTGCACAGAGAGGGAGAGAGAAAAGACAGTCCCGGGCGACACAGGAGGAAGCCTGGAGCCTGGCAGATGCTGGACCCAGCTTGGATGGCACGTGTAGGCAAAAGGCGGCCACTAGGGGGCGGCAGAAGCTGGGGAGGGTTCCGGTACCCTAGCATTCAACCCAGTGGATTCTTAGATTCTTCCCGCTTGCGGAGGAGGGAACCCAGATTTATTTATTGGTGGGGGGAGGCAATCAGGTTTATTGAGGAGGTACTGGGGATTGAATCCAGGACCTCATGCATGCTGAGCATGCATCCTACCATTTGAGCTATACCCTCCCCATTGAGGGAACCGAGCCTTTGAAGGTCGAGTTAGGACTCAAACCCAGAGGTCAGAGCCTCCAGAGGCCGAAGTCCCTGCGGGTCCAGCAGCAAAGGGCCCCAAGATGAAAGTGGCTGGGTTTCTTGATGACATGACCCCAAACAAGAGACTTCCCCTTCCCATGTGCCTCAGTCTCTCATTTGTGGGATAGGGACATTGCAGTCTCTCCACTTATTCGGGTTTATGGCCACTGACAGCCCCTCCCCCATGATTTCCATGATACACTTAATACCTGGCTTTGGGTAGACCCTAAATGCATGTTTGGTAATGGAACCAACGAATGAATGAATGAAGAAATGAGTGAACTCTGTGCCAGGCTCCTGTTACGCAGAGTCAGTTTATTTCTCTGAAGCAAGGGCTATTTTATCCCCATTTACAGATGAGGAAACTGAGGCCCAGAGAGAAGCAGTCTTCCTCAAATTTGTATGCCCTCAGAACCCCATTGCCTCCCATTCAGCTTAACCTGAGGGCGGGTTTTGGTGATGCCCTCCCCTTGGGCTTTAGAGAAAGGTAGTGGGTCAAGGTGCCTGTTGGAGGAGGGGCTCAAGTGGAGCAAATTTGTCTTATGAGACCGTGCAACCTTGAAAGTAAACCCCAGTCCTGTATGTCAGTGAGCTCCCGGTAACTCAAGACACAAACAGTGGGGATTTGAATGCTGAGGCAAGGGGAGCATTTGGGATCCTCCCCCCAATCCCCAACAGTCACCAACGTGTCCTGTCCCAGTCTCTGTGACCCAGTCCAGGGCGGAAAGGGTGCGGGTCCTGCCCGCCCCCAAGTCTAGGGGCGGAGTTTCGCTGACCCCGGAGCCCGATAAATCCTCAGCCCGCCGCCGTCAGCTGTCCCTTTTAGCCCCACCAAGACCTCCAGCAGTCAGCGCTGACAATATCACCCAGGAAGAGGACCAGACGGCTGGGTGGTGGATACTCGGCCGCCCTGAGCAGCCGGACCGAGTGGGAGGCCAGGTGGACGGACAGACAGACGGCGGAAACAGACGTGAAAACGAAGAGGACGGCAGGGAGGCAGACGACCCCAGAGAGGATCAACAGAGTCCTTGCCCAGCCCACCGGGGACCAAAAGGGACCCGAGTGAGGTCTCGCTGCGGAGGCTGAGCATCCTCCCACCTCCGTGCAGTCCTGCCTTCTCGGCCGCTGCCAACTTCGCTCACCGGGGCTCGCGGGTGGCTGGAAGGGTCGAGGACTTGCCTGGTCCCTGCACCTGCACCTCATGGCCGGCGTCGAGGCAGGAGTGCGGGCCACGTTCGGAGCCTGGGACTATGGAGTCTTCGCCCTCATGCTGCTGGTGTCCACCGGCATCGGGCTGTGGGTCGGGCTAGCGCGAGGCGGGCAGCGCAGCGCCGAGGAGTTCTTCACCGGGGGCCGGCGCCTGGCGGCCCTGCCCGTCGGCCTCTCATTGGCCGCCAGCTTCATGTCGGCAGTACAGGTGCTGGGAGTGCCAGCCGAGGCCTATCGCTACGGCCTCAAGTTCCTCTGGATGTGCCTGGGACAGCTGCTTAACTCTCTGCTCACTGCTCTGTTCTTCCTGCCGGTCTTCTACCGCCTGGGCCTCACCAGCACCTACCAGGTACCGGGCAGAGGCCAGGAGGCAGGATCTGGCTGGTTGGGAATGCAGGGAGGCGGCGCGGGAGGCCCTGGGGCTTTGAACTGCTGTGCAACCGCCGCAGGTCGGCTCCTTGGTGCTTTAATGGAGAGCCCCCAGGCAGAGAGGTGGGGAGGGTTCTGGGAAGAAGCCCCAGGCAGTGGGGCCAGGGGAAGGAAGGAGGAAGAGGAGCCCGCGTCCAGGCTCTCTTCTGTGGAAGCTCTCTCAGGGCGGAGCCACGGGCGCGCTCACGTGTGGACACCTGCCCCCAACAAGCCTGGGCTTGCGTACACCCGAGTGTTCGCCGGGCGGCGGGCCCCGAATTCTAAATCCGACATCCCAGCTTCCTCCTACCTGCAGCGAAGGGCTGACTCTTGGCTCAGGCTTCCCAAATGCCAAAGCGTGCTAATTACTGGACTTACCCCGCAGGGCAGTGGGCAAAGTGATTAAAATCGTGGCCAGTGTACAGTAGGCGGCCAATTACAGTTGGCCACAGGCACTTGTCTGTATCATGCGCAAGTAGATTCAGAGCGGTGGCAGCCCGGGGGATGATCAGACACGAGTGCGGGGGGCGGGGAGCGAATGTGTGCAAACTTGGTGGCTCAGTCCTCCGGGGCACACGCCATGTGCACAGGTGCGGAGATGGCGCGTATGCACAAGTGTGTGCAAATAGGTGGAAGTGTGAGCGTTTGGCAGGATCCCCCGCGGGCAAGAGTGCAGAGAGCACAGCTGGCCTCTCGAGGGAGGGCAGAAGCCAAGAGGGCGGGTGAAGGACCCCAGAGGCCTCGGGCCCCTGGGTAGGGCCTGTCTAGTAACCACCAGCCCTCGGCTCCTTCTCGCAGTACCTGGAGCTGCGCTTCAGCCGCGCTGTGCGGCTCTGCGGGACCCTGCAGTATCTGGTGGCTACAGTGAGTGGTCTCGGCCCTGTCCTCGCCTGCAGGGTCCAGCTCAGGTCCCTTCTTGGTCGATCCCGCCCACAGCCCTCCCTCTTCGCTCGCGACCCTGCCCCGTGCGTCCCTCCTGACCCTGCAAGGCCCTGCCTAGGCCCCGCCCATAATTATTCTCGCCCGCCTCTTGGAGGCCCCATCTACAAGTTTGGCCCTCAGGCCTCTCCTATTCACCCGTCTTAATCCCGCCCCGACCCTACAAGACCCAGCCCCCACCAATCTCCTCCCTCCATCTCCTAATTCCCTCTTCGCCCAGGTGCCCTTCCCCCCACCCCAGCCCTGACTCACCTGCCCCTACCCTTTACCTGCAGACCCTGTACACCGGCATCGTGATCTACGCTCCCGCTCTCATCCTGAACCAAGGTTTGACTGAGGGGAGGGTGACCGAAAGAGGCAAAGCCTTAGAGACTGAACTAGGGGAGGGGAGAGGAGTGGCCCTAGGAGAGACTTGGGAGGGAAGGATCCTCCTGGAAAAAGGAGGGCCCAAGACTGCGGAGGCCAAGTTTACACCCTGCCCATCGGCTTAACGGGGGTCTCCTTACACAGTGACCGGGCTGGACATCTGGGCGTCGCTCCTGTCCACCGGAGCCATCTGCACCTTCTACACTACTGTGGTGAATGTCCCTTTACCCCCACCCAATGGGGGGCTCCCTGCCCACTGAGTGGGAGAGACCCTTGGCAGGCCCATCCACTCCCTACCTTCCCTTCCTTCCAAGGAATCCTGTTTCCCAGCTGGGCCTGTTTCCTCATCTAGTATGAAAGGTGATTTGAAAGGCTTATTGCTGAGAGTCTAAGTATAAGCTAGCTTCAGGCATGGCTGGATCCAGGAGCTACAACAGCATCCTCTGGGTCCCTCTCCCATCTCTAGGGGTCCCACAGCTCCAGGTTTCCATCCCCTCTGGCTTTCTTCCAGCAGAAAGTGAGTTCCTACTTCAGGATGGGCAGGCTAAAGTCCCAGAAGGTCTTTGACTGACTGGTATTCTGTGCAGGATGAGCCCTCCACAGAAGTCTGAGGGGCTAGGATGTTCTGATTGGCTATTCCTGGAGCTGGGAGTAGGGTTAACCTCACATGAATGACCTGGGAGTGGGGAAGGGGCTTCTCTACAGGAAAATCCAGGAGCTGCCAAGGGAAAGCAAAGACATGAAGGCTGGATGGGTAAAAACAGCAGCAAATAATAACAATAGCAGTAATAATTATAATAGTGTCAGCCATAACTCACTGAATACTTGTATGTGCCAGATGCTGTTCCAGATATATTTCTTGTGTTAATTGGTTTAGTTCTCACAATGATACCCTGAGGAAGGTACTGTTATTAATCCCATTTTACAGATGAGGAAACAGGCAGAGGGGCATTGGTCCTGGCCACTACTCGAGGCCAGACCAGGTCAACACCAGCCAAGCCCCCTATCTGACATCCTATCTCCTGTTCTCTGTCACATCTTGCAGGGTGGCATGAAGGCTGTGATCTGGACTGACGTGTTTCAGGTCTTAGTGATGCTGACTGGTTTCTGGGTCATCCTGGTCCGTGGGACTATGCTCATGGGTGGGCCTGAGCACGTGCTTGAGCTTGCCAAGAACCATTCCCGGATCAACCTGATGGAGTGAGTGAACATGTAGAGGGGGATACTGTGAAACGATGGAGCCGACATCTCTCTGACCTGAGAGAAGCCAGCCAATGACTTCTGCTCCAGGAAGCCCTCCCAGACTCCCCACAGACAGAGCCCTGACTTTCTCTCTCTGTACTCCCCTAGCCCCCATCCCTCCAGCTGGCCCAGACTACTGCAGCACCCCACCCCCTAGCCCAGAAAGCTCTCTGAGGTCTCAGGTGGGCACAAAAAATATTTTTGAATGCATATATGGATTGCTCAATAAACAAATAAATGACTCTTTAATCTGGCAAACCCCTATTTACACTTCAGAACCCACCCCAAATGGTCCCTTTAAGGTCCATAATGTCCAGAATGGCCACTGGGGGCACTTTGGGAAGGTAAAGTCAGTATGGCATACCCACATGGCTAACGTGCCCTGTCCTCATCCAGCTTTGACCTGGACCCAAGGAGCCGCTACACATTCTGGACTTTTGTTGTGGGTGGCACATTGGTGTGGCTCTCAATGTATGGCGTGAACCAAGCACAGGTGCAGCGCTATGTAGCCTGTCGCACAGAGAAGCAGGCCAAGCTGTGAGTATTTAGGAGGAACAGGGTGGGCGCCTCTGGGATGTGCTACCCTCCTCCCCACCCTGAGGCCAACTCTCCCCTGCAGGGCCCTGCTCGTCAACCAACTGGGCCTGTTTCTGATTGTGTTCAGCGCTGCTGCCTGTGGTATCGTCATGTTCACACTCTATATTGACTGTGACCCTCTCCTTGCAGGGCGTATCTCCGCCCCAGATCAGGTGAGTCTGGTCCAGGCCCCTAGGCCACTCCTATCTACCCACCCCTACGCTGAACCTCTGTGTGGATGAGTCTCGGGGGGGGGGGTTAGGCTGGAAGAGCATTCCTAGCAGAGAGACAGCCTGTGCAAAGGTCCAGAGGCAGGAAAGAGCTTGGCTCAGAGAAGGATCTGGGAGGAATGGGGAAGATGAGGCTGGAAGGTGATGGGAAGCCATGGGAGCAGGGGAAGTTCATTTCAGATCTGGAGTCAGAGACTCCCTGAGGGATATCTAGGAAGAGCTGGGACCATGATCCAGCATAAAACAATGACATGAACAATAATGACCAGCTCTCATGTCCCAAGTGCCTACTCTGTGCCTCATGCTGTTTCCTTCATGAGCAGTTAGTTTCCCACCAAATTCTTCAACATGGGAAGAGGCCAAGACTGACATGGCCCTCAATTTACAGATGAAGACACTGAGGCTGGAGGTTGGGGTAAAGCAATTGCCTGGGGTCCGCAGCCAAGTCAGGGGCAGCACCAGGGCCAGGACCCATGCCTGGGTCACACACTGGCTGGAACTCTAATAATGGGGTTCAGAGTTGGCCAAGGCTGCAAGACCATCCCATCTGATCTTCTTCTGGGGTCAGATCCCTGCCTGCCTGACTTCAAGCAAGGACTGCAGCTCTTTGGCCTCGCTGTCTTCATCAGGAAAGTGAAGATGTCACAGGACCCTGCCTCACTCAGATCTCAGGGCTCTTGGCATGGGTCCACAAAGTCAATCAGCAAACATTCAGTGCCCACTGTGAGCCTGGTCTGGACTGGGTGCCAGGGACATGCAGTGTGAGTCTAGACAGAAGCCCCTGCCCTTGGGGTCCTGCTGTCCTGGAGTTTGACCTCCGATTCCCCCCAGTACATGCCCCTGCTGGTGCTGGATATCTTCAAGGACCTGCCTGGAGTCCCTGGGCTCTTTCTGGCCTGTGCCTACAGCGGCACCCTCAGGTGAGTGGCCCTGTTTGCTCATCTGGCCACATCTGAGACCCTGGGGCCTCCTTGTCCCTAACAGCCACCCCACTGTGGGATGGAATGTCCTGGGGGTGTCCACCATTTACTGCTCAGTCCTCAGTGGGTGGGCTTTGGCAGTCGGGCACACCCTGGGCATAAGGACCCCAGTGCTGGGGAGCTTCACCTTCTTATTGCCCAACAGGGCCACACCTGACTCCTTTCCCATCCTTCTTTCTGTCCTTCCTCCCCCAAACAAATGTTTCTTGAGCATCTGTGTGACAGGTACTGCTGTTTTAAATCCTGGAGCACAACCATGAGCAAGTGGTCCCCAACTCCTGCTCTCAGGGGCCTCCCATTCAGCTGGTTTCGAATCTTCCGTGACTTCTGGCCACATCCCTGCTCCTGATGTGACCAGAGTCCCATGCAGCTGTTCTCCCCATTATTGCTCTGTAATGAGAACTTATGTCATTCATGTCCTTGGTCATGGGTGTCCTTGTTCCCATGGTAGTGTCTCAGGTCTGTGGGTGGAATGGGAGGGTGGACATCTCCACTATTGAGGGATTCTATCACCTGTGCCTCTGCTCTTGGGCTGGGTGGGGTCCTGGCAAGTCAGATGGTGTGGGCAGCTGAGGGCCTCACCCAGCGGGTGGGCCCCAAAGGGGGTGTGGCCCATCCCTTGATGTGGCCTGAGAACACCCCTCCCCCATTTGTGCCTCCAGCACCGCATCCACCAGCATCAATGCCATGGCTGCTGTCACTGTGGAAGACCTCATCAAACCTCGGCTGCCAAATCTGTCCCCCAGGAGACTCGTAATCATCTCCAAGGGGCTCTGTGAGTAGGTAGGACCAGGGTGGGGGACCAGGGCTGCCTCTCCATGCTGACCGTGCCATCCCCATCCGCTACAGCGCTCATCTATGGCTCTGCCTGTCTCACCGTGGCAGCTCTGTCCTCCCTGCTGGGGGGCGGCGTCCTCCAGGTGAGCCCCCTTCCCGTACCCCACCCCAATCTCCCTGAGAGGTGGGGCATCGTACGTGTCGAACTGAGGCTTAGAGAGGGTTTTACGGGTCGGTGGCAGAACTGAGTTCTGACTGATGCCACCACCTGGCTGGAAACTGGAGAGCTGGGAGGTGCGGGTGGTGGCCTGGGGGCAAGAAGGGCCTCCTCCTGGCTTAGAGGTGGGACCAGATTTGTCAGGAAAGAGGATCATCTTTGGGAGAATGACAAGGACAAGGAATCCCCTCCCCTTTAGGGAAATGGAGGTACCGAGGGGTGGAATTCCTCAGGTCTTGCTTTCCCAGCGGGTAAACGGGCCAGAAAAGTAGAACGGCTCTGTCCTCAGACCCACCCTCACCCATTCTCCCAGGGCTCCTTCACCGTCATGGGAGTCATCAGCGGTCCCCTCCTCGGAGCCTTCATGCTGGGAATGTTCTTCCCCTCCTGCAATACGCCGGTGAGTCGGGGTGGGCGAGGCGGGGGGCTGGGAATTCGCCCGGTTCAGCCTCGCGCTCCGCTGACTCTGGGTCCGCCCGCAGGGCGTCCTGTCCGGGCTGGCGGTGGGCTTGGCGCTGTCGCTGTGGGTGGCCGTGGGCGCCACTCTGTACCCGCCGAGCGCGCAGTCCATGGGAGTCCTGCCGTCATCGGCCGCTGGCTGTGCTGTGCTGTCAGCCAATGCCTCTGGCTTCCTGGACCCACTTCTTGCTGCCAACGCCTCCAGCAGGGCTTCCAGGTGAGCTGGCAGGTCTGAGGGGGAGGCGTGGCCAGAGCAGGTGTGGACTGGGAGGGACCCTTGAACAGAGTCCCAATTGAGAAGTAGGAGCGAAGCTTGGGAAAAGGTGAGGGAAGGGCATTCCCAGCGTAGGGAAGGTAATGTGCAAAGGCTCTGAGACCAGTGTTTCTCGTTTAGCGCATCCCAACTATGGTGAGGTTGGGGTGGATTTAATGGGAGGAGAAAAGATAGGAGATGAGGTCCAGCCAGAGGAATCAGATTCTTTTCTTTTAAAATTGAGATGGCGTGGGGGTGGAGGGAGTATAGCTCAGTAGTAGAATGATGCCTAGTGCCTAGCATGCAGGAGGTCCTGGGTTCAATCCCCTAGTACCTCTGTTAAAGATAAATAAACCTAATTCCTCCCACCCCCACAAAAAAGAAAAAAAAAGAAATTGCAATGTAGTGTGCAGAACATAAAATTAGCCTTTTAAAAGTGGCTTTTCGTATATTCACCAGGTTATGCAACCATCACCACTAACTCAAAGAAATCTTCATTACCTCAAAACAAAAACAAAAACAAAAACAAAAACAAAAACAAAAACAAAAACAAAAAACCCTGTACTCTTTAGCAGTCACTTCCCATTTCCACCTCCCTCTAGCCCCTGGCAACCACTAACCCACTTCCTGTTACTATGAATTTGCCTATTCTGGACATTTCATATAAATGAAATTGTACAATATATGGCCTGTCGTGTCAGGGTCCCTTCACTCAGCATGGTGTTTTTAAGGTCCATCCACATTGTAGCGTGTGTCAGTGCTTCATTCCTTGTTATAGCTGAGTGATATTCCACTGTATGCTGGACCAAGTCTTGTTTACCCTTCATCAGCTGATAAACATTTGGGTTGTTTCCACTTTTTGGCAATTGCGAATAGTGCTGCTATGAACATTTGTGTATGAGTGTTGGCGTGGACATTTGTTTTTATTTCTCTTGGTATATACCCAGGAGTGAAATTGCTGAATCATATGGTAATTCTATGTTTAACTTTTTGGGGAACCACCAGACTGTTTTCCACAGTGGCTGCATAATTTTACATTTCCACCAGCCATCTATGAGGTTCCAATTTCTCCACATCCTCACCAATACTTGTGCTTTCCCCTTTTTTAAAATCTAGCCATCCTATTGGGTATGAAGTGATATCCCATTGTGGTTTTTCTTTCTTTCTTTCTTTCTTTTTCTTGGACATTGTGGTTTTGATTTGCATTTGCCTAAGGACTAGTGATGTTGATCATGTTTTCATGTGCTTGTTGGTCATATTTATATCTTCTTTGGAGAAATGTCTACGCAAATCCCTTGCTCATTTTTAAATTGGGCCACTTGTCTTTTTATTGTTGAGTTGTAATTTACATACTCTTTACTTCTTCATATATTCGTCATACAAGATCCTTATCAGATGTATGATTTGCAAATATTTTCTCCCATTCTGTGGGTTGTCTTTTCTTTCTGTTGATAGTGTTCTTTGATACACAAGCTTTCGATTTTGATGAAGTCCAGTTTATCTATGTTTTCTTTGATTGATTGCTTGTGCTTTTGCTGTCATATCTAAGAAATGGTTGCCAGATTCAAGGTCATAAAGATTCACAGCTATGGTTTCTTCTTAGAGGTTAATTTGGTTTGTTTCTGAGGGCAATAGGGATACATGGAGTTTGATGAGCAGGAGTAGGAGGTGATCTGAGTTACGTTTTAGTAATGCTCCCTCTGCTTGTGTGTAGGGGATGCCTGAGGGTGTTGGTAGAATAGCAAGAGGGAAGAATTGGCTACAGTGCATGTCTGGGTGAGCGATAATGGACAACTGAGCTGGGCCATGGGAGGAGACAGAAAGAAACGAATGTATTGGGAGTAGATTTTGGACTCATGCTCATCTCTCCCACCCCTAGCCTTGAAATGGATCCTGATCAATCCACCTTAGCTGACAGCTTCTATGCCATTTCCTACCTCTATTACGGTGCCCTGGGCACACTGAGCACCCTGTTAGGTGGAGCCCTCATCAGCTGCCTGACAGGTAAGGAGGGGGTGTGGCCTCCTTAGAGGCCACCCTGTCCATCCCTCTGCCTCTAGGACCCACTAGGCAGGGAGGGGAGGAAGGACCCTTCTGTCAGCCAAGTGGCCGCTGTGTGCTGGATGCATTTGCACCCTTTTTGCTGTGTCGCCTTCAAGACAGCCCTGCACCTCACAGGACTTGTCCTATTTTGCAAAGGCAGAAACTGAGGCATCCCTTATTCACCTCTCTAGTCCCTCTCCCTGTCCCCAAAAATTAAGTCCTTGCTAGAGGATGTGAGGTTGGGCCAGAAGACGCTGTCCCTGGTGCTGAAATATCTTCTCATCAGGGCCGTGGCAACTCTGCACCCCTCCAGGAATTCTGAATCCCGTGGAGAAGTGAAAAGAGAACAAGAGAAATAGTGATAACAGTACCTGTTCTCACTTCCTGAGACTCAGACTTTACATTCACCAGGCTTTTATTGAGTCCTTCTCTGTGTTGGGCACTGTCCTAGATGCTGGGGTTGGAGCAGTGAACAGAACCACATGCTGAACCCTCCTGTTTATCCACTGTTGTTGTATTCCAATCCTTCACTGTATAGATGAGGAAACTGAAGCCCACAGAGGGGCAGAGACTTGCCAGTGTCCCCACTGGGTCACTATTGGATCTGAGATTGGAACCCACCAGAGCTCTCCCTTCTCCTCCAGAGGGTCTGGTCTCCAGTTCCCACCACCCCTTACTAAATGACCCCATTTCCTCTCTGCCTCTCAGGCCCCACCAAGCGCAGTGCCTTGGGTCCCGGTCTGCTTTGGTGGGACCTCATGCGGCAGACAGCATCGGTGGCCCCCAAGGAAGAAGTGGCTACCCTGGATGACAGTTTGATGAAGGTCAGTCTCAGGGCTGGGCTCCCAGAGCAGGGGGAGGGGCAGTGAAGTGGCTTCAGGTGCTCTGGTGTGGCCATAACTCAGGGAACTGACATGGTGAGTCACCATTTTTGTCTTTCTCAACCTCTCATTACCTGCAGTGGAAAGTGTCTGTTGGGAGCTAGCACATCTTCAACACTTTCTTTTATCCCCTTTAACAAAGACTGAGCAGACTTTCATACTATTCATTTTCATTGTATCTGTTTTTACAACTACTTCCAATCTATGGCAAGTGAAACTGGTCTGCCTTTTGGTTATTGATTTTAAAAAGTCTCTCCTGAAAATAAAATTACTTCATGCAAAAGTGAGTCAATGTAGAGACAGTCTTACAAAAGAAACACGACAGGGGGTAGAACAACGCTGGCCAAAGCCATGTGGTTGCAATGTGAATGCCCTGAGATTGGGAAACACTGTCCCTGGGAAGCCGGATGGAGGCCTGCCCCTGCTTTGGATTCCTTGTTTCATTCCCTTATTTATTAAGCACTTGCTGTGTACCTAGCCCTGGTCTGGTCTGGGGTCCAAGCCCACTGTCTAGCAGGAGCAGAAGAAAGGTAAACTGAGAAAGGAGTAGCATCTCAGCAGGTGGTGAGTATTAGGAAGAAAATAAAATAGGATACTATACTGTGATGGAGGTGGCCCCTTGGAAGAAGTGACATTAATAGAGCCTGGAATGAGAAAGAGCCAGCCATTCTTGGTGGAGGGCACAGCAGGTGCAAAGGCTCTGAGTCCAGAACAAGCTCAATAGGGGGAGGGCTAGGGAGGGAGGTATTTTAAAGCTTCCTCCAGTTGCTGTGGGGAAATATTTATTTTCTTAAAGCAGAACAGGCAGAGTCAGAGAGAGGAGGCAGGCTGGCATCCATGGAAGTATTGATGCTGGACTATAGGTAACATGGGCATAGGAGACAAAAAGTGGGATGGAGGTTTTGGAGTCAGAGGGGACAGAACTGGCCTATGCACTGGACAAGGGGATATTGTGCAACTCTGCCCAGGTTCTGTCCTCCCAGACCTTCTATCCCTATCTGGAGGACATCTGAGCTGACACAGAGCAGAAATGGGTTCCCTGATAGGGTCATTCTCCTCTCTTCCCTCCAGGGTGCTGAGGCACTGCCCCCCAGAGGCAAGAGCCCTCCTAACTTCCTGCCCAATGCTGAGGACCATCTGCCCTTCCTGGGGCAGAAGGAGGTGAATGGAGCCAGCTCCAGGACCCCTGACAGTGAACATGACAAAGGTTGTGACCTGCGGGAGACGGACCTCTAAGCCAATCAGGGACTAAATGCCTGGGATGGAACCTCAGGGAGGCAATCCCAGGCCATGGGCCAATGGCCGTAGGCTCCAATTGGCTGGACCACATCATATGCAAATAAGCTTGGGACTACATGCCCTTGCCCTATGGGAAGTGGTGAAGCCCTGCTTGCAGATCATTTTATCTTGCCTCCTGCTTCCAGGCAGCCCCTAGTCTTAGATGCTGCACTCCTGCCTGCTCCCCCAAAATGAGGCCAAATTTTTCTCTACCTATAAAAAAAAGATGTTGGAGTCTTCTTTGAACAACACAAGAAACCCCCAGGCCCAACACTGGGGTCTGAGAAAGACCCCAGCTCTGAACGTTGGCAATGATTTTTGAGGTCCTCAGGCCCAACCCCCTGTACCCACTTCACAGGTGGCGAAACTGAGGCCTGGAGAAGGGCATTGACTTGGCTAAGGTCACAGAGCAAACCAGAGACTCATCAAGAGTTGGACACCAGCTCTCCTTCCTTCATCCCCTCCCTGTGTTCATCCATTTGAAGGGACAGACATCACATGGCCCCTGATCTTGGCAACAAGAAGGGAGAAGGAAGGAGAAATAAGATTTTCATCCTTCCTTCTGTGCCTGGATCCTTACCCATCTTATCCATTGAAGACCGTGAACCCACTTTACAGAGGAAGAAATTGAGGCTCAGTGAGATTGCCTAAGGTCAGACAGCGAACTGGGTCAGAGCAGGGACAGGCCTAGATGCTGCATGTTGCTGAGGCTCAATTGACGACATGTCACTGGTATACAGGGTCAGATGGGCCAGGCGAGTTCATGTACCAGGACACAACTAAGCCTTGGTTGGAGACTCTATCCACGAACATCAGATAAATAGACTCTGAAGCTTGATATTCTGTCTTCTCTGAAAACATTTTGGCCATTGCCTCAGATGTCTCAGTCAGATCTGAGTGCAAATCTCTGTATACCTTGCCCCAAGCCTGCGAAGGATTAACCCAAGTATTTAAAGCATCAGAGTGAGAGGGGAGGGTATAGCTCAGTGGCAGAACATGTGCTTAGCATGCCTGAGATCCTGGGTTCAATCCCCAGTACTTCCATTAAATAATTAAGTAAAATTAATTATCTACCCCACCAAACTGTATGTATGTTTAAAAAATGATAACAATTTTTAAAACTTTAAAAAATAAAGCATCAGAGCAAGGTGATCACACCCATACTGGGGAGAGTCTTGGGAGGTGTATTTAGTCAAATTAAGATAAGGTCATACTGGATTAAGATAAGCCCTGCATCTAATGTCCTTAGAAGATGAGAAGAAGCACAGACATACAGGGGGAAAGCCATGTGGACATGGAGGCAGAGATTAGAGGGATGCCTCTGCAAGCCAAAAGATGCCAAGAATTGCTGGAGCCACCGGAAGCCAGGAGAAAGTCATGGGAGAGTTCTTTCAGAGCCTTCAGAAGAAGCCTGGCCCTCGGCGGGGGTCCATGTAGCTCAGCAATAGTGTGTGCTTAGTATGCACAAGGTCCTTGGTTCAATCCCTCATACCTCCATTAAAAAAAGAAGAAAACAAGAAGCATAGCCATGCCAACATCTTGACTTCGACTCTGGGCCTCCAGAACTGTGAAAAAATTAATTTCCATTGTTTTAAGCTATAGCATCCTCGGGAAGCTAAAACACCCCTCCAGATCTGGCTTCTTTCCCATTCAGAGACCTGGCCCTCTGTGCAGGCTGTTTTGTGGAGACCTTTAGATTTGGACTTAAATGCGGCCATCACAAATTTTAAGTCAATTACTGAGGAAAGTGGGAAACAGACCTTCCACTGATGGATGGTCCTTCCTCAGAGCAGAGTCCAAGTTGGAAATGTGGAGGGGAGACGGGGGCGTGGGCGGGGCTAGAACCCCACAGTGCAGGCAGAACAAACTGGTTTGGCTGCCCTTTTAGGGACCCAGTCATGTTTTCATGTGTATCAGTGGCTCATCACTTACTCTTGCTGAGTCCTATTGCACTGTATAGGGGGACCACAGTTTGTTCATCCATTCACTAACATTCATGTTATTTCCAGCTTTTGGCTATTGCAAATAAAGTTGCTTATGCACATTAGTGTACAAGTTTTTGTGTGAGACACTTTAATTTCCCTTGGGTAAATTCCTAGAAGTGAAATGGCTGGATCCAATGGTAGGTGTATGTTTATTTCAGAAACTGTCAAACCATTTTCCAAGGTGGTTGATTCCCTTTACAGTGTCACGAACAATGTATAAGAGTTCTAATTGCTCCACATCCTTGCAGCGCTTAGTATGGCCTGTCCTTTTAATTTTGGCCACACTAGGGTGTATGTGGTAGTATCTCACTGTGGTATTGATTTATATTTCTCTGATAACTTACGATGTTGAACATCTTTTCTTGTGCTTATTGTCCATCCATGTATTTTTAGCCAAGTGTTTGCTCAAATCTTTTGTCCAAAATTTTTAAAAAATTGAAGTATTGTTGATTTACAATGTGTTAGGTTCTGGTTGCTTCAAATTTTAATTGGGATATCTTCTTATTATTGTAAGAATCCTTTCTATATTCTGGATACAAGTTCTTCATTGGTTACAGGCATTGCCAATATTTTCTGCCATGTCTTGCCTCCTCAGTTGCTTAAGACTGCCTTTGAAAGAGCAGAATTGTAGTTCTGTTCTATCAAAAATTATCACTTTTTTTCTTTTTCTCTTTTCTGTGGCAAAATATACATAACATAAAATTTATGATTTTAGCCAATTTTAAGTGTATAGTTCAGTGTTATTAAGTACATTCACATTGTTGTACAATTACTACCATCTAGCTTCAGAACTTTTTAATCATCTGAAACTGAAACTCTATACCCATAAATACTAATTTCCCATTCTCCTCTCCCCTCAGCCCCTAGTAACCACCATTCTACTTTCTTTATCTATGAGTCTGACTATTCTATGACTCTCATGTAAGTGGAATCATAAATTATTTGTCCTTCTGTGTCTGGCTTATTTCATTTAACATAATATCTTCAAGATTCATTCGTGCTGTAGCAGGAGTCAGAATTTCTTTCCATTAAAAGGCTAATATTCCATTGTATCTATATACCACATTTTGTTTATCATTCATCCATCAATCGACATTTGGATTGTTTCAACCTTTTGCCTACTGTGAATAATACTGCTGTGAACACTGATGTCAAAATATCTGTTCAATATTTGATTTCAATTCATTTGGGTTTATACCTAGAAGTGGAAAACTGGATCATATGATCATTCTATTTAATTTTTAAATACGGTTTTACATTCCTGTTTTAAATACTGCTTAAGTTTTAAATACTGTTTTATATTCCCACCAAATATTAACACACATAACGGGAGAGATTAGCAGTAACACGAAAATAGTAGGGGATTTTGACACCCTACTTATATCATTGGACAGGTTATCCAGACAGAAAGTTAATAAGGAAACACTGGCCTTAAATGATACATTAGACTAAATAGACTAGATAGATGTTAGGTAGACAGATAGATAGATAGGACATTCCATCTAAAAGCAGCAGAAGGGGGCATAGCTCAGTGGTAGAGTGCTTGTGTAGCATTTAGGAGGTCCTGGGTTCAATCTCCAGTACATCCATTTAAAAAAAATTAAAAGCAGTAGAATACACATTCTTTCCAAGTGCACATGTAACATTCTCCAGGATAGATCACATGCTAGTCCACAAAGCAAGTTCCAATAAATTTATGAAAATTGAAATCATATCAAGCATCTTTTCTGACCACAATGCTATGAGACTAGAAAGCAATCATAAGGGAAAAAGACTGCAAAAACCAGAAACATGTGGAGGCTAAACAATATGCTACCAAACAACTAATGGATCAAGGAAGAAATTAAAGAAGAAATTTAAAAATTTAAAAAACAAAAGACAAGTGAAACAAAAACACGACAAAAAAATCTATGGGATCCAGCAAAGGCAGTTCTAAGAAGGAATTTCATAGAGATACAAGTGTACCTCAAGAAACAAGAAAAATCTCAAATAAACAACCTAATCTCATACCTAAAGGAACTAGGAAAAAAAGAACAAACAAAATCCGAAGTTACTAAAGGAAATAAATTGTAAATTCAGAGCAAATATAAATGAAATAGAGACTTAAAAAAAGAAAGAAAAGATCAATGAAATTAAGAGCTAGTTCTTTGCAAAGATAAGCAAAATTGATAAACCTTTAGCCAGACTCACCAAGAAAAACAGAGAGAGCGCTCAAATCAATAAAATCAGAAATGAAAAAGGAGAAATTACAACCAACACCACAGAAATACAAAGGATGTTAAGATTACTACAAACAACTATACATCAATAAAATGAACAACCTAGAATAAATGGACAAATTCCTAGAAATATACAACCTCCCAAGACTGAACCAGGAAGAAATGGAAAACATCAATAGATCAGTAATGAAACTGCATCAGTAATAATAACAATAACAATAACAATAATAATACTAATAAACAAAAGTCCAGTACCAGATGGCTTCATAGGTGAATTCTATCAAACATTTAGAGATGAGTTAACAACAATCCTTCTCAATCTATTCCCAAAAATTGCAGAGGAAAGAACACTTTCGAACTCACTCTACAAGGCCAGTATCACCTTGATACCAAAAACAGAAAAAGAAAATTATAGGCCATCAACACTGATAAACATAGAAGCAAAAATCCTCTACAAAATAATAGCAAAGCAAATTCAACAATAAATTTAAAAGATCACACACCATGATTAAGTGGGATTTATCCCAGAGATTCAAGGATGGTTCAACATCCACTAATCAAGCAATGTAACATACCACCTTACCAAACTGAACAATAAAAATCATATTATCATCTCCATAGATGCAGAAAAATCTTTTGACAAAATTCAACATCAATTTATGATTTATAAAAAACACTCTCCACTAAGTGGGTTTAGAGGGAACATACCTCAACATAATAAAACCCTTATATGATAAACCCACAGCTAACATCATATTCCATGGTGAAAAGCAGAAAGCATTTCCTCTAAGATCAGGAACAAGACAAGGATACCAACTCTTGTCACTTTTACTCAACATAATACTGGAAGTCCTAGCCCCAGCAATCACACAAGAGAAAGAAATAAAAGGAATCCAATTTGGAAAGGAAGAAGTAAAAACTGTCACTGTTTGCTGATGACATGATACTTTACATAGGAAATCCTAAATACACCACCAAAAAATTTCTAGAGCATGTCAATGAATTTGGTAACACTGTAGGATACAAAATTGATATACAGAAATATGTTGCATTTCTATGCACTAACAACAAATTATCAGAAAGAGAAATTAAGAAAACAACCCCATTTACCATTACATCAAACAGAATAAAATACCTAGTAATAAATTTAACTAAGGTGCTAAAAGATCTGTACTTGGGAAACTATAAGACACTGATGAAAGACATTGAAGATGACAGTAATAAAAGGAAAGATACACCATGTTCATGGAATAAGAGATACTATATTGTTAAAATGACCACACTGCCAAGGCAATCTACAGATTCAGTATAATCCCTATCAAAATGCCAACGGCATTTTTCACAGAACTAAAACAAATACTTCTAAAATTTGCATAAAAACACACAAATCTCCAAACAGTCAAAGCAACCTTGAGAAAGAAGGAGAGAGCTGGAGGTATCCATGCTCCCTGACTTCAGACTGCACTATGAAGCTACAGTAATCAAAACAGTATAGTACTGGCACAAAAACAGACACATAGATCAATTGAGGAGAATAAAGGGCCCAGAAATAAACCCGCACATTTATGGTCAATTAATCCAAAAAGGAGGCAAGAATATACAATGGGGAAAATGCAGTCTCTTCGATAAATGGTGCTGGGAAAACTGGACAGCTACATGTGAAAGTATGAAATTAGAACATTTTCTTGTGCAAAAGTAAATTAAATCAATTAATCGACATAGATTAAAGACATAAATGTAAGACCAGAACCCATAAAACTCCTAGAAGAAGACATAGGCAGAACACTCTTTGACATAAATCATAGCAATTTTTAAAATCTGTCTCCTAAGGCAAAGGGAACAAAAGCAAAAATAAGCAAATGGAGCATAATTGTAAGCTTTTGCACAACAAAGGAAAACACTGACAAAACAAAAAGACACAACCTACTGCATGGGGGAAAATATTTGCAAATGATATGACTGATAAGGGGTTAATATCCAAAATATATAAACAGTTTATAAAACTCAATATTAAAAAAATCAAGAAATGGGCAGAAGAAATGAATAGACATTTTTCCAAAGAAGACATAAGATGGCCCCAACAGGCACACAAAAAGATGCACAGCATAGCTAATCATCAGAGAAATGCAAATCAAAACCACAAGGTATCATCACATATCTGTCAGAATGGCTATCATCAAAAAGGCCACAAATAACAAATGCTAGTGAGGATGTGGAGAAAAGGGAACCCTTGTACACTGTTGGTAGGAGTGTAAATTGGTGCAGCTACTATGTAAAACAATGTGGAGGTTTCTCAAAAAACTGAAAACAGAATTACCATATGATCCAGGAATTCCACTCCTGGATATATATCCTAAGAAAACACAAGCACTAATTCAAAAAGATACATGCACCACAATGGTCATAACAGCATTATTTACAATAGCAAAGATCTGGATGCAACCTAAGTGTCCATCAACAGATGAATGGATAAAGAAGATGTGTGTGTGTATGTACACACACACACACACACACACACACAGGAATATTACTCAGCCATAAAAAAGAATAAAATTTTGCCATTTGCAACAACATGGATAGTCTTGGAGGGTGTTATGTTCAGTGAAATAAGTCAGAAAGAAAAAGGCAAATGCTACATGTTATTACTTATGTGTGGAAACTAAAAAATAAAATGAATGAATATAACAAAACAGCAACAGACTCACAGTTATAGAGAACAAACTATTGGTTACCAGTGGAGAGATGGAATGGGAAGGAGCAAGATAGGGGTAGGGGATTAAGAGGTATAAACTAGTTTGTATAAAATAAATAAGATGCAAGGACATATTGTACAGCACAGGGAATATAGTCAATATTTTATAACAACTTTAAATGGAGTATAATCTACAAAAATTTTGAATCACCATGTTGTACACTTAAAAATCAATATAATATTGTAAATCAACTATACCTCAAAAAGAAAAAAAAAAGAAATGCAATTGATTTTTGAGTGTGATTTGTGTCCCACAAAGTTGTATCCTTCAACTTTGCTGAATTGATTTATTTATTCTAATGGATTTTTATGGAATTTTCAAGGTTTTCTACATATGAGATCATGTCATCTGCCAAAGAGATAATCTTATTTCTTCCTTTCCAATTTGGATGCCTATAATTTCTTCTTCATGCCTTATTGCTTTGGCTAGGTCTTCCAATACTATGTCAAGATAAGTGGCAAAAGCAGACATCCTTGTCTTATCCCTGATCTTAGAGGAGAAGCTTTAAGTCTGACTATTGAGTATGACGTGAGCTATGGGTTTTTCATATATGGCCTTCATTATATCAGGGTAGTTTTCTTCTATTCTTGGTTTGGTGACTGTTTTTTAACAAAAGTGTGTTAAATGTTGTCAAATGCTATTTTTCTGCATCAACTGAGATAATACCATTTTTTCCCTTCAGTTTGTTAATGTGGTATATTACATTGATATTTTCATGTTGAACTTTCCTTGTATTCCAGGAATAAATCCTGCTTGATCATGACGTTTAATATTTGTAATGTGTTGCTTAAATCAGTTTGCTAGTATTCTGTTGAGAATTTTTGCATCAATGTTTGTAAGAGATATTGGTCCGTAGTATTCTTTTTTCTGTTATGTCTTTGATTGGCTTTGGTATCAGGGTATAGCAATTTGGTGGGGGGTGATGCTTTTTGTGTTCAATCTAAGAAATCTTTGCCTAACCTAAAATCACTAAGGCATTTGCGTTTGTTTCCTTCTAGGAGCTATATTGTTTTAAGAGTTAAACTTTTTGTATGAAAAGTGTTCTTTTTGTTTCTAATCCCAAGTGAACTACCTTGACATCTTTATCAAAAATCAAGTGGCCAGTACATATGTGCGTTTATTTCCAGACTCTCTATTTCGGCCCACTGGTCTGTTTCTCCATCCCAGGGTGTTGCATCTTCAGCATTACTGACATTTAGGGCTGGACCATTCTTTGTGACAAAGA